GGACTGTCCCTGAGACTTTTTGCTCAAAGCCTACCACTTGAGGCACATTTCCACTTCTGGCTTTTTTTGGTTAATTGGAGAAAACAGTTTCAGGAAGTTGAACTGTCATCCCCAGATCTTAGCCTTCTTTGTAGCTAGGATTACAGGCATGAGCCACTGATACAGGGTTATAAATTGTGTGTGTGTTCATATTTGGGCTTGACTCAAGGATATACACTCCATTTTCTTGCTCATGACTGATACTCTCACACTTGAGCCATGCCTTTAGTTCAACTTCTTTACTTGGCCTGGGGGTTATTCCTGAGCTCTTCAGCACTCTGCCACTTGAGCCACAGCACCCTTCCAGTTTTCTGGTGGTTAATTGGAGATAAGAGTGTCAGGGACTTTCCTGCCTGGGCTGGCTTTGAACCGTGATCCTCAGATCTCAGCTTTCTGAGTAGTTAGGTTTATAGGTGTGAGCCACCAGTGCCCATCTCATTAATTTTTTCATTATTAATTTTTTATAGTTTCTCCCTCTTTCCTGAGATCAAGGCTTTCATAGTAACCCATAAAAAACTTTGTCTTGGGGCTGGGGGTTTAGCCCAGCGGAAGGGCGCCTGTCCAGCATGCACAAGGCCCTGGGTTCAGTCCTCAGCCTGGGGGGGAAAATTGTCGTTGTTTTTTATTAGTTACTAGGGTTTCTTTTTTTTTTTGGGGGGGGTCCGGTCATAGGGCCCGAACCCTGGACCTGGGAACTGTCCCTCAGCTCTTCAGCTCAAGGCAAGCACTCTACCACTTGAGCCACAGCGCCATTTCCAGCTTTTTTCTTTTTGCATATGTGGTGCTGAGGAATCGAACCCAGGGCCTCACGCATGCAAGGCAAGCATTCTACCACTGAGCCACCTTCCCAGCCCCAGTTATTAGGGTTTCATTTCAGACCTATGAACTTACTTGACTTGCTTCTTCTGCTGGTAATATGGATTAGCTTTAAATTTTAATTTTTTGGATTTTGGTCTCCTGAGTAGCGAGGATTATAAGCATGAGCCAGTGGCACCTAGAAATTGTGTCTTTCTTGTCTGTGTCTTCAACATTACAAACATTTTTGCATGTAGAATTAATCATCATCATCATATCTCAAGTGTTTACTCTGTGCAAAGCTCTGTTCTGAACACCTTACATATATAAATAGGGCCAGTCCATTATTATCCACCTTTATCAGTTGAGGAAACTGAGGTAAAGGCAAGTTGAGCAAATTTCCTAATATTACTGGTGAATAGAAAGGCTCCTTTAACCCAGGTATTTCCCTTGAGTCTATACTCTGAATCATTGTCTAACTAGGACAGATGGTATCTCTCCAGCATTTGAAAACCCTATTTTTTTATGCCCAACAAGTAGACAAATAGAAATAGAAGTACCAGGGAAACACATTTTAATTTATTATATGAAAAGAGTTGCCGTAATTACACATACAACAAAATGGCATAGACTGCCTTATGTTAGATAGTAGGATCTCTTCTGGAGATACTAAGAAAGAACCATTTGCCTGAGGGTTTTATAGAAACAAAGAGTAGAAATTTTGACCAAGTCCAGCCCATTCTTGAGATCATATGCAACAAAAGCCAGAACTGTACTTCATATACTTAGTGACCAAAATAGCTAGAGAGAATTAACTCATTATTTGCTTCAGAAAGTAGTAAAATAACTAGTTGTAGTAATAACTTGATTATAGGAAATGTTTGTTTTTAGTTATATAGATTGGACCTTCCTCCTTTTCTTTCCTTATATAACCTAAATTTATGAATGAAAGGTTAGTAGTTATTTAGGGTAAAAGTAGGGTGAGTGCTTCTCTTCTTTTTGAAATATGCCATAAACCTGTGATGTGTGGAGGGCATGGGAAGACTTGGCAAATGAGCTATGGAAATGCTGGACATGGAGCTCAGAGGTCCTCAGAATGTTCTGTTTTCCTTAATCTGTAGGTAAAGTACGTGTCTGTTTTTCCTTGTAGTTTATGAATACTATAAATTTTCATTTAATCTGTGTTCCATTTTTAAAGCTGAAGCAAACATGGTAAATGATACCATTTGTTAAATCTGTGATTTAACTATTTATAGTATGTGTTTTCTGTATGTAAGCTATTTCAGAGTGTACAGGGAGAAAAATGAAATCATGATTTGTTTTAACAAAACCTGTGGGGCTGGAAAGGTGGTGTTTGCCTTGCATGCATGAGGTCCTGTGATTCCTCAGCACCATATAAGTAGAAAAGGCTGGAAGTGGCGCTGTGGCTAAAGTGGTAGAGTGCTAGCCTTGAACTGAAGAGCTGAGGGACCAGTGCCCAGGCCCAAAGTTTAGGCCCCACAACCAAAAAAAAAAAAATCTGCATTGCTCTGTGAAGTTATATTCTGCTTATTTTTACTGCTCTGATTATGACTGATAATTATATACATTTGAAAGTGAGTATAATTGTCTGTTGCCTACAGAATTGGACAGTACAGATGGTGCCAAGGTTTTTAGTAAGCAACCAGGAAGAATCCAGAGAGTAGCAAGAGGATCAGGCGTGTCAACAAGAGATGTGCAAGAACTTTTAACACAGTATACTAAGTTTGCACAGATGGTGAAAAAAATGGGAGGCATCAAAGGACTTTTCAAAGGTAAGAAAATAAGCTCACTATTAAATAACAGAATAAAAAGAAAGAAATTGAAAATCTAAGTATTAAAGTCAAGGAGTGTTGCTAGTATTGGAAAAGTCACTGAACAATTTCAAGTTATAGGGACTAAGGATGAGTACAGTGGTAGAGACTAGTATATATGAGGTCCTAGGTTCAATTCTCAGTACTACAAAAGAAAAGGGCACTGAGGGCTCATGCTTGCTGAGATTTGAATATCAATAGTTTAAAGCCAGCCCAGGCAGGAGAGCCATTAAAACTCTTTTCTTTAGTTAACCACCATAAAGTTGTAAGTAGAGCTGTAGCTCAAGTGATAGAGGCTAGCCTTGAGCAAGAAAGCTCAGGAACAGCATCTAGGCTCTTGAGTTCAAGCTCCAGAACTGGCACAAAACAATAGCTGAATTACATGTACTATCACATTTTATAATGTGACCTGTAATTTACCTGTTTGTCCATTCAAGGTAATAGACATTTTGAAAAGAAGATGCTAGGCTGGGAAAGTGGCTCAGTGGTAGAGTGCTTGGCTTGCATATATGAGGCCGTGGGTTCGATTCCTCAGCACCACATACGCAGAAAAAGCCGGAAGTGGCACTGTGGCTCAAATGGTAGAGCCCTAGCCTTAAGCTGAAGAACTGAGGGACAGCGCCCAGGCCCAGAGTTCAGACCCCACAATCAACAACAACAAAAAAAAGGAAAATGCCATGGTTTTATGAACATGCAATATATATTATAAAAAATTTAGAGAGAAAAAGCTAAAAGTGCATATCACATTATAAAATCCCACAGATCCAGTTAGAAATAAGTTGATGTAACTATTGTTTTCTTCTAGTAAATCATTATTATTTTTACATATTACCAAATACACTGTAAAATATGTTTACTAATCACTACTATTGTAGTTATGCACAGATGTTTGTTTAATGCCTTGGTTGGACTCTTAGGATGACTCATCACTTAGGCTGCTTTATCACTGTCAATTTCTGAACAGTTCTGTAAAACCAGAGATTTTTTTTTTCTACTCTGATCAGTAGGTGCTGAATTAGTTTTCTAATTGCACTATATATAATTTATATACAGATATAATATACATATACCTATACATAATTTTATTTCTTTACTGGTCCTGGGGCTTGAACCAGGATCTGAGTGCTGCGCCTAAGCTTTTGTGCTCAAGGCTAGTGCTCAACCACTGGAGCCACAGCTCCTCTTCTGGCTTTTTTTGGTCAGTCTCGGGGCTTGAACTCTGGGCCCTCAGCTTTTCAGCTCAAGGCGAGTGAGTGCTCTACCACTGTGTCACAATGACACTTCCAGTTTTCTTTCTTTTTTTTTGGGGGGGGGTCCGGTAGTGGGGCCTGAACTCTGGGCCTGGGCGCTGTCCTTCAGCTCTTCAGCTAGCACTCTACCACTTGAGCCACAGCGCCACTTCGGCTTTTTTCTTATGTGGTGCTGAGGAATTGAACCCAGGGCCTCAGGCATGCAAGGCAAGCGCTCTACCACTGAGCCACCTTTCCAGCCCCCCAAGATCCATTTTTGTTGTTGTTGTTGTTTTGCCAGTCCTTGGGCTTGAACTCTGGGCATAGACACTGTTCCTGAGCTAACGTTCTACCACTTGAGCCACACTGCCACTTCTGGCTTTTTCTGTGATTAATTTGGAGATAAGAGTCTCACGGACTTTCCTGCACAGGTTGGCTTTGAATCATGATCCTCAGATTTCAGCCTCCTGAGTAGGTAGGATTACAGCCACCAGTGCCCAACTACTTCTGGATTTTTTGAATGATTAGTTGGAAGTAAATTTCTTAAGGACATTCAGGGGCAGCTTTGGTTTTTCATTTTTATTAAATATTTTTGAAAATTACCAAGTCAGTGTTCCTTTTTCTGAATTTGCTAATTTTGCTGAAACAAGGTTATTTACTCATTATTTTTCATTGATGCTATCTTTTGCTTTCTTTCTCAAGAGTACAGATAATCAGCAGGGTATGGTAATGCATAATCCCAGCACTTAAGAGGCTGACTGTCTAGAGTTTGAGGCCAGCCTGGGCTATGATGAGAGACTTTTATCAAAAAAGAATTATATAGTCTAAAGAATGCTTTTACCATTTTGACTTAGACTGTACCTCTCATTAGCTGACCTTTTTAGTGTGTTTTTTAAGTTTATGGTTATTCCTTCACAAATTAAATTGCATTGTCTTTCGAATTTATGAAATTATCATAGGGAAGGTAGATCAGTGATAGAGTGCTTGCCTTGCATGAGGCTCTGGGTTCGATTCCTCGCCATCACATAAACAGAAAAAGCCGTAAGTATTAGAGTGCTAGCCTTGAGGTGAAGAACTGAGGGACAGTGTCCAGGTCCAGAGTTCAAGACCCATGATCAACAAAAAAAAATTTTTTTTTAAATTAGCTGGGCATTGGTGGCTTGTGACTGTAATCCTACCTACTCAGGAGGCTGAGATCTGAGGATCACAGTTCAAAGTTGGTTCAAAGCCAGCCCAAGCAGGAAAGTCCATGAGACTCTTCAATAAACCATTCAGAAAACCGGAAGTGGGGCTGTGGCTCTATTGGTAGAGCACTAGCCTTGAGCTGAAGAGCTGAGGGACAGTGCCCAGGCCCAGAGTTCAAGCCTCATGACAGACCAAAAAAAAAAGTTTCTTAGATACATTCAAATCTTCAAGTTCTCTCACACTCATTTATTTACCAGCTACCCAATCTCTCCCTCTCTTTTTTGTCTGTCCAGTCCTCCCTCTTTAGGTTTAGTCTTTCCTTGTATTATTAGTAAGCAAGTTAATATAACTGATCATTAATAACCAAAAATGTACTCACAGTTTTGCTTGGTTCATTCACAGATATAACTAAAAGTTTTTCAACAGCTGGGTGGTGATGGCTCAGGCCTATAATCTTAGCTACTCAGGTGGCTGAGATCCAAGGATTTCTTTTTTTTTTTTTTTTTTGGGTGGGGGGTCCAGTCGTGGGGCCTGAACTCTGGGCCTGGGCCCTGTCCCTCAGCTCTTCAGCTCAAGGCTAGCACTCTACCAG